TGGCCTGCACAATGTGTGGGCCCGTCAACCAATTGGGATAGGCCCATGAGTGGAACATTCCATTTTTAATTAAAGGTTGGGCAAAGCACCTGTTAGGTCACAAATGGGCAACTGTGGAAGAATCTTGATGGGGTTTTTGTTTCTCTTTATATATTGTTGGACTGATAGTTACTGCTGATAGTTGCTCCAGTGTAACATCTAGAAGTCCGCAGTTCCCCACCTCTGCATTAGACTTTCTCTTTGACCTTACCTAACCAACTGTTTGATGAAAGGTCTACAAATGAAGAAAATTGCCAAGAAACCTATTCCAGCCATTTTTGGGAAGGGGATTGATACCTATAAATTTGTTGGAAGTCAATTTAAAGTCCTATAAATAAGAAGTCCCTTGGCTTTTCTACTTCAAAATTGCATACCTTCCAACTGTCCTGGTTTACCAAGAACAGTCCCTATTAATTTTCTGTGATATCCCTTTTTCAGCTGCTTTAAAAATGTCCTGATTTCTCTCTCCTCTCACTTTCCCTGCTTTATTCTCAGTTTTCTTCCATTGCTGCAAACTGAGTTCAAAGTGCAAAAGTGGTTTGCACTCACTTAGCTCAGTACTAGGAGAGGAGTAGCCAAATCTTTTCATTCTCAGTAGGTGTAGGCAAAAGCAAGCTGCTGCAGCCTTTCCTAGCTTGTGTGATCTTCCTCAATAATAATTTTTGCCTCCTTGACCACACTCTGTTGTTGCTTGGCCACACGTGTCCTGGTTCTCATCTGTGAAATGTTAAAGGATATGAAATTGGCATGGACCTTTTGCAACACAACCTTTCCTACACTGTCAAGTTTCAGATCAGTTCTCTGAGCTGTTTTATGTGGTCAAGCTGTAGAAAAGGCTGCTGTCTCTCCTTGCAGTTTGTGGTTATAATGGTGGAATCATATTCAATTGACTCAGTGTTCACGTAGGACTGCCCCAGTGGCCATATAATAAAGGAGTTAGACAACGGGAGCACATTTACATAGTTTCAGTTCTTAATTGGAAACTTAATTGGAATGGATATAGGGAAATGTCTTCAATGAAACCTGATAGCAAATCCTTTTCATTGAACTTTCAAATGGTGGGAAGCACTTAATAGGCTCAGAAGCTAAGCAAGGCTCATCAGTCTCACCCTCTCCCTCAATGAGCTCAATTTTAACTTGTATGTTTGCGCAAGGAGGACTCAAAAGACCAAAGATCTCCCAGGATAATAATGTTATTGTGCTAGGGAGTGAGGGGTAGGGATTGTCTAGCCATCCAGATATTGCTGGACTGCAACGCCCAGCATCCCTAGCCAGTATAGCTAATGGACATTGTACTAGGAAATAAAAAGGTTACAGTTTAACCTTAGAAACTTGTGGGAGGGGTTCCTGACAATAACTAGTTATGCTAAGTTTGCATCTGTAACTCTAAAGCACAGGATGTATTAATAATACTTATCAAATGAAGTTGTACCCATCCTGGTTTGAAGCAGGAACATTTATATCCTGCCTTTCTTCCAAAGAGCTCAAAGTGATGCACATGGCTCAGTTTGTCACCACTTTATGCCCACAGTAACCCTGTGAGGTAGCTTACCTTAGTGAATCTTACTGGGCCAAGGTTACCCATTCCTCTTCATGACAGAGTTTATGTTCCAGTCTAACCAGTAACCTCAGTGGCTCTTCAAACATTCTTGCTTGGGACTAGGTTGCTTGTCAGGACATCACTTTTCAGTGCAAGCATATAATGTTCAGCCATGTTTGATTCTTTAGGATTCTCACCTCTCTTCCTCATTGAATCATGAAAATTTGTTGCAGTAACACTAACACATTCATGTGTGATGAATCAAGAATAAGCAGCTGATGATGCTGTCTCAGATGCAAGAAACCAGGCTGTCTTCAGTCATGTGGTCATGTATATTCTTCCAGTTTGTAATGCCATTTTGTGTATGTATGCATGGTGCAGAGCTTTGAAAAAGTTAACATTTGGACTACAACTCCCAGAATCCGCTCACCACTGTGACTAATGGCCATGCTGGTTGGAGAATTATGGGAACTATTGTCCGAAATAGTATTTTCAAGCTCTGCAACTAGGCCTTTCTTAGAACCTTGGCCTTATATACTTCACTGGTCTGAGGTAGGTCTGGTATTCAGGATTTCTTGTGAGTTTCTATCCAGAAAGTGGGGTGTGGGTATTGTATAGCCATCCAGATTTTGTTGGATTGTAACTCCCAGCATCCCTAGCCAGCATAGCTTAATGGTGAGGAGTGCTGGGAGTTGCAGCCCAATAACAAATAGAAGGCTGCATGCTTCCCACCCCTGGTTTAAAATATTGACTTTCTTGCATTGCTGAATAGGGTTCTCTGCTCTACAGCACCATTCAGTGTACACAGATTAGAGTTTCTGTGTATTATATTTACTGATGTCTGATGTAATGAAAACTCACAGAACAGACTTGACTCAGAGAGCTGAATTCACTATTCACAAGTCTGATGTTGGTTCACTTGCAAAAACTCAGCTGGGTATACCTTATAGTGATAAACAACAGTGATGGGAGTACTTCTTCAGATAAGGCAAATAAGTTGGAAGGCTGCAGTATTTGTTGTAGTTCTATCCCTCCATTCATCTCATCTATAGCATATAAATATGTATCTCCAAACAACATTTCTTTTGTTCCAGACTATTTTCTGGAAGTTCCCGGCACCATCTGAAACATTCCCATCTCCAAGCGGTTTTCTTTTTAATCCTGAGACAGGATTAAAAGTCTCTTAGGTTGTACTACAGAATTTAAACAGATTGGCACCATTTTAACCACATGACTCTATCCTACAGAATCTGAGATTTGTAGTTTGGTGATAGCCTGGCTTGTCAGAGACCTCTGTGCCTCACCAAACTACTAATCGTGCCAGTTAAAGTGCTTTAATGCTACCATGTGGCTGCACCACAAGTCTCATCTCTTCTCCCCCCTTCTTTCTTTCCTTCTTTGTTATAGTGCATCATTGCATCAATGTAAAACTGTAAGAGGGGGAAAAAAAGAATAAAGGGGATAAAATGAGCCC